CTTATTTCGCATAGATTCCACAACGATTTGAGGAGTTGCAGGAAGGCTCTTCTAGCTCCATCTTACTGGAGTTGGATTTCATCCTTAACCGCAATATGCAGCACAAGGGTTCTCTATCGACATAGTCAAATGCAGGGCGGAAGATAAAAGAGCGGAATACGAAGCTCCACCCCATACGCGACTGCAGTATTCGAGCATCGGGCTGATTTGAGCTTTGTATAGAAGAAGGCGCTTGGATGTAAAGAAACGCTTTACGCGGAATAAAACATCGGCTTTGCGCGCAGCGCAAGAGACCAGTGTAGAAATAAAAGGGGACCAACAGAGAGAGAGAGGTAATAAAAGCACTAATGATATTACGATGGTGATCGTTATTGGTAGTAGCTCGATGGGGTGTGGTGTAAGAAAGAGAACAATGAATAGTGGCATCATCGGCAAGGCAGTGGATGACATTAGAGGTTTTGGACCAAAGATTGTTGATAAGTAGAAGATTGAGGGTTGACGAGAGTATGTAATCTTAGGGAAAACTGGCCTTCACAGGAAATGACCGAGATAGGACCCCATCTACCCGGACGCAGATGTTTCGCTTGCAGAGGAAACATCGGAGTCACGATACTAGAGACGGATGGAATCCGAATTTCGACAGTAGACCTTCATACCGAACGCGGTCGAAGGCCTTTGAAATGTAGGGCGAGACCACGTGAGTTTCTCCGTGGTTATCGAGTGCAGTCGGCGAGAAGTGTGATGTGAGCACCAGTAGGTCACCCGTAGATCGACGGTGGCGAAATACATACTGACGGTAATTTAATAAACCTTCGCGTTCGAGAAACGTACGCAGCTGGTCGGAGATAATGGTTTCAAACACCTTCGAAATTACAGATATGAGACTGACGGTAGTTGCTGGGGTGGGAAGGGTTGCCGCGCTTTGGGATTGAGAAAATAATGGCATTTTTCCGTGGAAAATGGAAAGATTTAAGATTGAGTGGAGAACGAAAAAGGCGGCGTAGAGCAAGGGATAACTCCGGGGCACATTTTTCGGACGATAGGTGAAACATCGTCCGGACCGGGTGGTTTACAAACGTCCAAACCGCGAAGAGTTTTGCTGAATTTTCTGGTTGTTGTGATAGGTAGAAAGGAGTGATTGGATGTTTAGGAGTAGGGTTGTACAGTAGAGTCGGCACATAGGGTGGAGTTGGAGGCAAACTAGTTCCGTACAGTTCAGTTTCAAGAACCATGTAGCATGCATTTCCGTGCGTCGCTTTTGGTTGCTGTCTTTTGACTGCCCATTTAGATAAACAGTAGTGGGAAAACGGGAAGGTTGAAAGTATGATCGAAGAGAAAATTGAGAAGTTTAGCGGACCAATGATGCGAAGAAATTAAGATGATGCACAAACGCCACCGTTTACGACACCCAGCCATCACTCAATACCTCTGTCCGCCTAGCCATCGGGGCCTTATGTGGTTCGCCACTCCAAGTTCTAGGGCTAGGTTGCCGGTTACTCTCTCATCTCATCATGAATACTATAACCAACAGGAACAATTCTCAGGCGCACTCTCAATCGACAATCGCACTCACTGACATTCGCGGCTTGAACCACAATATTGACTCTGTACATCAATTTCTTCAGTCCACTTCCCCTCTTGCTCTATTTTTATCCGAAACTCAACTTTCTGCTTCTACAGACACCACGCATCTTCAGTTTCCCAATTATTCCCTTCACACTTCGTTCATTCCCAAAGCTGGTGTTTGTGCTTTCATCCATCATTCAATTCTTTCTACTCCGTTCTACAACTTAAATCTCACCAACCGCCAGTTCCAGACTCTGGCTGAAACTTCGGTTCCCTTCTTTTAATCACTACTTCTGCACTGTGTACCGTTGCCCAAATAGTAGTGACCCTTCACTCTTTGAGGTTTTGTCGCAAACATAGATGGCATTGTTGAAACAGATCCCAACGCTCAGTTGATAATTGTGGATGATTCTAATGTCCATAACAGGGATTGGTTGTTACACTCCTCAGGGATATCGCCCCTTGGACGTGAAGCAGAATCCTTTGCCCTATTGAACAGCCTCCACTAACTGGTTGATTTCCCGACCCGTATCCCTGACCGTACTGGCGACCACGCTCATACTCTCGATCTTATCCTCACATCCAGCCCACAATTATTTTCAAATGTTGCTGCTATTCCTATTGCTAGGCTCATCGGACCATTGTCTTATTCCTGTCTCTACCCAAATTATTTGTTGTAATGTTCCTCCCCATTCTAGACGCATGTTTTGGCGATATAGTTCCGCTGATTCGTGCAGCTTTCGTACCTTTCTAGCTTCCTACCCCTGGAATGAGTGTTGCTTTCCCACCGATGTCTTCATCTCCGCTTCGAATTTCTCCAAAGTTCTTTTGCAAGGCATGCACCCATTTATTCCTCATTTCACTAAACCCGGCAAGCCTCTTTCTCCAGAATGGTTCAATCACGCCTGTTGTCCCGCTGTTCGTAAAAAGAAATCAACGTTCCGCGCTGGCTTCGGTCACCTTCGCCCAGCTCCCGTCGATGGTTCTTGTTAGCACGTAACAAATGTACAACCATCATACAGAAGGCTAAAGAGCAGTTTGTTGACCGCAAAGCAGCACAATTGGCGACCGCTCCTTCCGGAAGCCGGACGTTCTGGTCACTCAAAATATTGAAAATCGGTTTTCGTAGCTCGGGTGAACTGAATTCCATTTTGCCTGTTCGCCGAGCTTGGCAATTTGTTTGCAAACGTTTCATCACCAGCCGATGATGTCACCTCGGCTGGTGATGAAACGTTTGCAAACAAATTGCCAAGCTCGGCGAACAGGCAAAATGGAGTTCTGGTCACTCATTAAGGCAGTCTCCCGTAACTTTTGTTCCACTAACTTCCCACCCATTGTTAAACCATCCGGTGATTTAGCATCCGACCCGTTGGAAGAAGCAGAAGTGTTTGCTTCCCACTTTGTTTCCAACCCTACCCTTTTCGAATCACCCATCCAACCCTGCATACACCCTACGACAAACCATCTTTTCACACAGCTCATTTCCACCAGAAAATACGTCAGATCCTCTTATTGCTGGACCCACACAAGCCACCTGGATCCGACGGGATTCCTCCCATTGTCCTCGAAATGTGCGCCCCAGAACTGGCTCCCCTCATACGTCGCTTATTTCGTTTATCTCTTAATTCTGAGATATTCCCAACCCCATGGAAAATATCAGAAATATTTCCAATCCCAAAACGCGGCGACCACTCTGATCCCAACAACTACCGCCCCATCTCTCTCACATCAGTCATTTCGAAGGTTATGGAATCAGTTGTGTCTGATCAACTCCGCCAGCACCTGGAACAGAACAATATGCTTAGCGACCGTCTGTACGGTCTCCGATCACATCGATCTACCGGTGATCTTCTGGCGCTCATTTCGCATACA